AGAGAATCTAATGAGGTGATTTCAATTGCTCCAACATAAAGGAAAACCCATCCGAACTATCACTGAGCTAAAATATATATAAGTAGCAAAGGGTAACAACATTGGGTATAATAAAAAAATACAATTTGGGGAGTTTATTCCCACCTGTTTTTTTTTTTTTTTGCCAGTATTGCATTTGAAAAAATATTGGTTATGATAAAATCAGTTGAAACTATTTCACTAGTCCTGAAAAACTTTTTGAATGCATTAAATATGTTTACATTTAAACAAAAATATCTAATAATTTGAAATATCTTTGGATATTCAACTTCAAGACTTACTAGAAAGCTACAGTAATGAAGACAGTGTGGTATTGGCCAAAGAACAGGCAAATAGATCAGTGGAACAGAACAGAGAGCCTAGAAATAGACACACATACATATAGTCAACTGATCTTTGACAAAGGAGCAAAGGCAATACAATGGAGAAAAGAGAGTCTCTTCAACAAATGGTGCTGGAACAAATGGACATCCGCATGCAAAAAAAAAAAAAAAAAGAATCTAGACACATACTTTACACCCACTACAAAAGTTAACTCAAAATGGATCATAAACCTAAATTCAAAACACAAAACTATGAAGCTAGTAGAAGATAACATAAAAGAAAACCTAGATGACCTTGGGAATGGTGATGCCTTATTAGACACAACAACAAAGACAAAATTCATGAAAGAAAAATTGGTAAGTTGGATCCTATTAACATTAAAAACTTCTCCTCTGTGACGGACAATATCAAGAGAATTAGAACACAAGCTACAGACTGGGAGAAAGTATTTGTGAAAGACACATTTGATAATGGACTGTTACACATTATATGCAGAGAACTCTTAAAAACTCAACAATAAAAAAAAAAAACAACCCAAACAACCCAACTTAAAAATGGGCCAAAGACCTTATCACACACCTCACCAAAGAAGGTATACAGATGTCAAGTAAGCATTTGAAAAAGATGTATTGTGTACCATGTCATTAGGGAAATGCAAACCAAAACTACAATGAGAAACCACTATACTTCTTTTAAAATGGCCAAAATCGAGAACACTGATAGCCTCATATGCTGACAAGGGTATAGAGCAACAGGAACTGTCATTCATAATTGGTGAGAGTACAAAATGGCACAGGCATTTAGGAAGACAGTTTGGCAATTTCTTACAAAACTAGACATAACCTTACCATACGATCGGCAATCGTGCTCCTGGGTGTTTACCCCAAAGACTTGAAAACTTATATCCACAATAAAACCTGTACGAAGATGTTTATAGCAGCTTTGTTCACAACTGCCAAAACTTGGAAGCAACCAAGACATCCTTCAGCAGGTGAATGGGTAAATAAACTGTGGTACATCCAGACAGTGGAATATTACTCAAAGCTAAAAAAAAAAATGAGCTATCACACCATGAAAAGACATGGATAAACCTCACATGCGTATCATCAAGTAAAAGAAGCCAGTTTTAAAAGGCTACATACTATATGATTCCAATTATATAACATTTTGAAAAAGTCTAAACCAGGAGATTAGGTTTCCAGGGGTAAGAGAGAGAGAGATGAATATAGAGAGCACTGAGGATTTTTTAGTGCAGTGAAAATACTCTGTATATTATAATGATGCATATATGTCATTGTTCTTCTTTCCAAATTCATAGAATGTACAACACCAAGAATGAACCAACCGTAAGGTAAACTATGGACTTTTGGTGATTTTGATGTGTCAATGTAGGTCCATCCGTGGTAAAAAATGTACCATTCCAGTGGGTGAAGTTGACAATCAGGAAGGCTATGCATGAGAGGGGGCAGGAGGTATATGAGAAATCTCTGCACCTTCTTCTCAAATTCTGTCATAAACCTAACATTGCTTAAAAAACAGTTTCTTTTTAAAGACTACATATTGGGTCATTTTATGTATATGTAATATCCAGAAAAGGCAAGATTTTAGAGACAGAAAGCAAATCACTGGTTGCCTGAGACTGAGGGTGGGAGCAGGGGTTGAATGCAAAGGGGCTTGAGGGATATCTTGGAGGAAATGGGAGAGTTCTAACCCTGGAATGTGGTTATGATTGCAAATTCTACAATTTTTCAAAGAAATTATTGAAATGTATACTTACAATGAAATTTTACGGCATGTTTGTTGTATCTCAAAAACAGGTGTAAAATATATTTTACACACGAGATAGGTAAAAGTATTATGGTCATACTGCCTATGTTATCACAAGTATAACAAGGATAGCTATGGTGGAGCAGAATAATAATATAGAAAATATAACCAAAATAGGTTACCTGATCATCTCCACTTAGTTAAACCACTACATAATCCCAAACCACTAAAGTTCACTGAAAAATACTCCATTGATCTTTAAAATTTTTTTCTAGATATATCTCCTGCAGCAAAGGAAATAAAAGCAAAAATAAACTATTGGGATTACATCAAAATAAAGGCTTCTGCACAGAGAAGGAAACAATCAACAAAACTAAAAGACAACCTACTGAATGGGAGATGGCATTTGCAAATGACATATCTAATAAAGGGTTAGTATCCAAAAATCTATAAAGAACTGGTACAATTCAACACTTGAAAAACAAATAATCTAATTAAAAAATGGGCAAAAGTCGTGAATAGACATTTCTCCAAAGAAGACATACAGATGGCCAATGACACATGAAAAGATGCTCAACATCAGGGAAATGCAAATCAAAACTACAATGAGATATTACCTCACACCTGTCAGAATGGCTAAAATTAAAAACACAGGAAACAAGGGGTATTGACGAGGATGAGAGAAAGGGGAAACTTCTTTCACTGTTGGTGGGAATGCAAACTGGTGGAGCCACTCTGGAAAACAGTATGGAGGTCCCTCAAAAAGTTAAAAATCAGGGGTGCCTGGGTGGCTCAGTCGGTTAAGCGTCCAACTCCTGGTTTCAGCTCAGGTCATGATCTCAGGGTTCTGAGATGGAGCCCCATGTCAGGCTCCGCACTCACCGCGGAGTCTGCTTGAGATTCTCTCCCTTTCCCTCTCCCTCCTTCTCTGCCCCTCTCCCCACTTGTGTGCATGTGTGCTCTCTCTCTCAAATAAATAAATAAAATCTTTTTTTAAAAAGTTAAAAATAGAACTACCCTATGATCCAGCAATTGCACTACTAAGTATTTACCCAAAGGAGACAAAAATACTGATTCAAAGAGATACAGGCACCCTGATGTTTATAGCAGCACTATCAACAATAGCAAATTATGGAAAGAGCCCAAATGTCCACTGACTGATGAATGGATAAAGAAGATGTGTTATATGTATACAATGGAATATAACTCAGCCATCAAAAAGAATTAAATCTTGGCATTTGCAAAGATGTGGACGGAGCTAGAGAGCATTATGCTAAGTGAAATAAGTCTGTCAGAGAAAGTCAAATACCATATGATTTCACCAATATGTGTAATTTAAGAAACAAAACAGATGAAATGGGGGAAATAAAAGAGAGGCAAACCAGGAAACAGACTCTTAACTATACAGAAAAAAACAGGGTTACTGGAGGGGAGGTGGGTGGGAGGAATGGGTAAAATAGGTCATGGGGATTAAGGAATGCTCTTGTTGTGACAGGCACTAGGTATTATATGGAAGTGTTGAATCACTATATTGTACAGCTGAAATTAATATTACACTGTATGTTGACTAACTGGAATTTAATAAAAACTTGAAAAAAAACTACAGTGAGATATCACCTTACACCTATCAGAATGGCTAAAATCAAAAACACAAGAAACAACACGTGTTGGTGAGGATATGGAGGAAAAGGAACCCTCGTGTACTGCCGGTAAGAATATAAACTTGTGTAGCCACTGTGGAAGACAGTATGGAGGTTCCTCAAAAAGTTAAAAACAGAACTACTCTATGATCCAGTAATCACACTCCTAGGTATTTACCCAAAGAATACAAAAACACTAAACCAAAAGGATATACGCAGCCCTATGTTTATTTGTTTATTGCAACATTATTTACAATAGCCAAATGATGGAAGCAGCCCAAGTATCCACTGATAGATAAATGAATAAAGAAATGGTACACACACACACACACACACACACACACACACACACTTCAGCCATAAAAAGAATGAAATTTCGCTATTTGCAATAGCAAGGATGGAGGAAGAGAGTAAAACACAAAGTGAAATATGTCAGAGAAAGACAAATAGCATATGATTTTATTAACATGTGGCATTTAAGAAACAAAACAAATGAACAAAGGAAAAAAACAGAGAGGCAAACCAAGAAACAGACTCTTAACTATAGAGAACAAATGAAGTATTTACCAGAGGGGAGGGGATCAAGAGTACGCTTATTATGATGAGCACTGAGTAATGGATAGAACTGTTGATCACTATATTGTATGCTCCAAACTAATATAACACTTTACTAGAATTAAAATAAAAATAAAAAACTTAATGAGAGTGGGCTATAAAAATACATTAATAACATCCTTTGAAAAACAAATAGAGGGGCGCCTGGGTGGCTCAGTTAGTTAAGTGTCCGCCTCTTAGTTTCAGCTCAGGTCATGATCTCAGGGTCCTAAGATCGAGTCCCTCATCAGGCTCCACACTCAGCACAGAGTCTGCTTGAGATTCTCTCTCTCTCTCTCTGCCCCTGCCCCTGCTCATGTGCTATCTTTCTCTCTCTCTCAAATAAATCTTGAAGAAAAAAGAAAAACAAATAGAAATATCATCCTAAATTTCAGTAACTATTTACTTTTGTTTCTTGGTTTTTTTTTTTTTTTGGTGTTCACTTTGTAGGCTCTATTTTTCCAATTTTTAATTAAAAATTATGAAATATATTAAGCTTTGATTCATAAAATCAATACCTCTCTGGCTTAAACAGCAAAAGATGACATAATAGAATTTTCCATCTTAAATTTTTTTCTCAATTCAGCATAAATTACATTCACAAAACCAGTTATATACTTTTGCTTGATATATTACCTCGTCTGACTTGTCAGCCTGAAGTCAACAGTAGATTCCTTAAATAAACCAATGCCTTCAATATCAATGACATCATCCACATCAGGCTCAGTAGCAACCAACGTTATGGGAAACTTCCAAATCCCATCTGTTATGCACTCTATTTTCAGTGTAATTTGAGTCCTTAAATAGAAAAAGCGATTACAAAGGATACTACAGGAAAACAAGTAAAAAGAGAATACAATATAGCAGACCAATATCTAGGGTGAAAACGTAAGCAAACCTTGTGGTTTTGGTAAAAATATTGGGACTTTTATTTCTTTTTTTAATTTTTTATTTCTTTTTATTTTTTAGAAGATTTTATTTATTCATTTGAGAGAGAGAGAGAGAGAGATACAGAGAGAGTACAAGCAGGGGGAAAGGCAGAGAGAGAGGGAGAAGCAGACTCCTTGCTGAGCTGGGAGCCCGGAGTGGGGTTCCATGTGGGGCTTGATGTGGGGCTCAATCCCAGGACCTGGAGATCATGACCTGGGCTGAAGGCAGATGCTTAACCATCTGAGCTACCCAGGCATCCTTGAGACTTTAAATTCTTTAAAAAAATGCAGGTGACTGTGAATTACATTTTAGAAATAAATTTTAGGTCTTTGGTTATATTGTCAATCTCCCTGTGAGATAATTATTTTGTAGCACATCTTATCTACTCTCTACTTATTTACTAAGTACCAGTAAAATATGCAGAATGGACTGCAAATTTTCCATAACCAGCATAGAATATGGTAATATTTAAGAATCCAAGGCTAGGTTGGCAAAGGGACCCAGGCGTTATACAGATAGGTCTGTATGGAAATTTTGTTCAAAAGGAAACATCATGAGAAAGTTTTTTAAATTCTTATTTCATGTAGAAAAATTATATTTTCTGTGGACACTTACAAAGTTCATAAAATTGACTTAAAGATTTTCAAAAATTAAATTGCAATTTTAATTTAAATTAAAAGACTACAAACACTCTTCATAATAACTTACAATTGAGTGGCAGCTGAATTAATGAAGTGAATAGAGATAGCCTTTCTAAGCATTTGGCTATGAAGGAGAGTGGAGTCATAGGGCAGTAGGTGAAAATGAGGAATGGTTACTTGTTTGTTTGCTTGCTTAGGGTGGAAATAATGCAAACAGGTAATGGTGTGGCTGTAATATTGTATGTCAGATTGGACAAAGAAATCACAATCCTTTTACATAAAACTCTCAGAAAGAACAGCAGGTCAAGAGTTCCAGGAGAAAGTTGAGCTAAGATAATGATTATTTCTTAAGAAACCCCAGGACAAATGATATCAATCATTTATTTATTAAAAAATGTTTAGACCTGTGTTAAATTACAATCACCAGGCTGATTCACGACCATATTAACTACTGATCTCTCAAGTTTTTGTATCAGACCCTTGATTTTTATTGCAAGAAAAGGTCAAGACCTGTAGAAATAATCTTGTTTGTTTTTGTAAAACCACCAATTAGGGCCCTGACAATTATTATTATTATTATTATTATTATTATTATTATTATATACACTATTCTGTGAAAAAAGGAATGTGAAAAATTACCTTGTATTAACTGTTGTGAAATAATGTTATATTTTCTTTTCACCAAAACATGAAAACTTTGTTTTCTTTTTTACCTCGCCAAACAGGAAGAAAATAATTGAATTTAATACTTACTTATCTAGACAAAGCATGGTTTAGGTATAATTATTTTCTTGTTCTTTTTCATAATTTAGACCTATTGAGTTTATTTTGGTTTTTCTCATTTAACTGTATGTCTTCCAGTGAACCATCCCAAATAAATAAGGAGGAATGAATGATAAAAGTAAATGAATATATACATATATACACAAAACAGAATTATTAAACTACATCAGAATATCACACAACACTCACAAAAATTTATGAATCATGCACACAAGTTGTCCTAAATCAGTTTTGCAAACATTCCCCAAGAAGCTCTAAATCCACAAAATGTTGAAGTGGTATAAATTCACACTGGTTATGCTCATATTCACTAATGATAACATTCTCCCCTTCTGGTTGTTGCTGGTAATTTCCATATCACTAAATCAACATAGTACAAATCTAAATGTGAAAAAAAATACTATGAAACAGAGAAAGCTATCAAAATGAAAGAGAAGATAAATGTTTACAGTATACTATCTTCTTGCAGCTTAGTTTTATTACTGCTTCCTGAAGATGACCCTGGTATCTTTTAGTTATTGAACTACATATTCAAAGCTACATTAAATACTTGCCTGGCTACATCAAATACACAGTTAAACTACAGAAACATTTAAAAGCACAGATAATACTTCAGCTGTCTTTTCATTTCCAGGCTATATTTTGTACTTTGTGTGTATTGTGGTACTGATCAGTAGCTCTGCATTAAGACATAACGAAAGCCCTGTTTCGGATGTGACCTATCATACGGCATTTGCATGTGCTAAGTACCAGTTGCCTAAGAAGTAAATATAAAGACACTGGATGAGGTTTCCCAGAAGAAAGACGTTCAAAGGTCACTATTCTCACAGATTCCAATATTATCCTCTTAAACCTTACTAAAGGATGTGCAATAATATAGTTTTGGTGGTAAAAGGGTAATGACAGCAATTACAAAGTAGAACACAGCTGACGCATTTTTTATCATTTGAACTGGTTCTTTGAAGTAGTATCAAGAAACATCGTGTTGGGGCATCTGGGTGGCTCAGTAGGTTAAGTGTCTGACTAGTGATTTTGGTTCAGGTCATGATCTCAAGGATCCTGAGATTGAGCCCCGCGCTGGGCTCTGTGCTCAGTGTGGAGTCTGCTTGAAGATTCTGTCCCTCTGCCCACTCCCAAATAAATAAATCTTAAAAAAAAAAAAAAGAAACATCATGTTGTTAATGCACAGTACCAAGTCAGTAATTTTTTTAAAAAATTTACAAAGTGCACTGCTCTTTTGTGAATACTATACCCTAATGACCTTTGGGAGGTCACAATTTGTGAAGGATATCTTAGATTTCTAATCACTTGGACTATTTTTTCTCATCAGAATACTTTTCAGAGTTTGATAGCTAGAGATAATCTAGCCCAAAATATTTACCTCAACAGCATCAAAGAAGTAATACAATCCAAATATAAAAGATGGAAAGAAAAATCAACATAATTTTGTTTAAAAGAGTAATATGTAGTTTCAAGAAGTAATAATATTATTTAAAGAAAAAAGTTTTACCTCAATGGTTTCTTTGGTGCAAATACCACATTGAAGACCAATGCTATCATTTTAGCATTGACATGATAAGATTTTTTGATCATATATAAAGCTACGCAGGATTCCAAGTTAGACTTCATAACTTCAGATTCAAATTGAATTTCATATTCAAATTCACGTTTCACAGGCAAATCTAAGAAAATCAAGATTAAAATGATTTCAACTTAATTAAATATATATAGATTGAAAATCAATTACCTGTCAACACTAATCATGCACAGGTATTTAGAGGGAGGGAGAGGGTTTTATATTATTTACCCTTGTGTTCATAATACCTAGTGCATTACTGGGTATATAATAGATGTACTCAGTTATGTTTTTGTTAAAAGGTAAATAAATAAATGAATGAATAAAAAATAAATGCAGAAGACAACTCTCACCACCTTAAATCTTTAAAATTCAGATTTATGAACAAGAAATAGCCAGACAGAAATTAATAATGAATATTTACCATAAAATATAAATAATAGGCATTGTCTATATAATAAATATATTAAAAGTTTATAGACTTGTAATTTATAAAGAAAGATTTGAATTAAGTTTAAACAATATTAAAACAGCATCCCAATCTATTTGGGCAGAATTTTCAAGTTCTGGTATATTTTAATAAAAGAGAGAGTTCTTCAAGTTGTGGTCTGGGGTTTTAGAGACAATCTAGTTAACCATATTTTCTTAACCAGTAGGCTACCAGAGGAAAGTTATAGCAGGGTTTTGTTGGGTACATGTGAAAAATAACTCAAATCCAGTACTGGCATGTGTAAGAGAAGCACGGACATCTATTATATGAACTCTCCACATACATGTAAGGAGCCCAAACGCCAAATTGAGAAGTTTATTGCATATGGATCATGGAAGAGAGGTCAGGAAACCATAACTTGACCTGGTCCACAGCTGAGGTAATTTCTAAAGTTTGTCTCCAGTGTATAAAGGTAAATGTGATCCTTGGATTCACAGAACTGATGGCCACCTTTCTTTAAGCAATCCAAACAGAAAACAGACCACCTTTAAGAAGTAGTTGATTATAATGTATGCTGTAGAACTCTGAAAAGTAGCGTGGCTGTAACAAGCCAAAGTCACATTTAATGATTATCCAGCAAACCTTATTAATGTAAAATAACTGGTTAATCCACACCCTTACAAGGTCCCTTTTTCTCTTTTTCCACATGTGAAAGTATACTTCTGATCTCCTGAATTGCCGATTTTTAACCTGTTGATAAAATCAGCAATGATTATTCCTATCAATAACCTGTCTTTGCTATAGCAAAATCAATGTGTCTACGTATAATGCGCCTATTTGTTCTGGGAATGAGATATGGAAATGTTCCAGAGGAAGCCATAATCCATACAAAGAAAGACCATTTAAGAATTTTAGAGTGGTTAATGGGAGATGAAATTTCCATTGCATTCAAATAACATAATATTTTTAAAGCAGATACTGTATGTAGTTGAACTCTGCATCTGTTTCTACTTAATTACTAAAGCCTTTATGGGAATGCTTGTGTCAGAATGAAGATAAGAAAATGAGAAGCTAAATTTAGTTTTAGAAGCATTGAACCCCCTATGGAGAATCTGTCACTATGGATGTTATAATTGTAATCATAAGAAGATCCATTGGTACAAAATAGAGACATGATTATCAACTAATGGATAGGAGGTGAGACAAGTAGAAACAATATGAATATATTTTTCAAACTACACATATCCACCTTGTCTGTAACTGGAATATATTGATCTGAGCCTGTAAAGGAGAGGGAAAGAAGGCGGCTGGACAAAATCACAATAAACTGACATTCGGTATTGTATCTTAAAAATAATCTGTTAGCGTCTCTGCATTTTATTTGGAAAGTCATATTACCAAGTGAGAAACATGGTTTTTGTTATGCTCCTAATTTGGAGAGAAACTGTGCAGTATTTTTATGTGGACTGGGTGGATAAGAGCTAAGTCAGTGAGGCCAGTATAAATTAATTGTTGGATAAAATTAATCTCTCATGACAAACATAGCTCAAAACTCTAAGAGAATACCTGCACATTTCTAAAAAAAGTATCTAAATAAATGTAGTTTCCCTTAATACACATTACAATTTCAAAGTTATAAGTCAACAGTCCTTGGGACTACTGTAACAAATTTTTCAACATTGAGGGAAAATCTTATTGTTTTTTAGCAAACCCTTAAAAAAAGGCACTTAAATTCATGAAACTAATAGGATCAAAACATATTTGACTTCAGTTGTGTTTTACCAGCATGTAAAAAGCTTTCCCTGAAATGACAAGTGTGGTTTTTGTCCTCATGGAGCCAATGACCGAGAGGCAAGAACTGGTAATAAACTACCAGTAATACCACTAGTTTTTTTAATTACTGTGATAACTGCTATTATGGAGAAGTAAAAGAGGCATGAGAGCATCTGTCCTGGGAACCTGGCTATGAAGGTCCTGAGGAGGAAACCAATACACCAAAATTGAAAGGTGATAAGGGTTACCCGGATGTAGAAATTAAGAAAATGCCTCCTAAGCTTCATCAGAGCAGCATGGGGGAGTTTTCCGGAGGGAAAACCACTTTAGCCCAGGTGAGAAAGAACTTATGTGGATGAAGCAGAGGAAGTGGCAAGAATTTGTCAAAAGATGAAGTGGGCAAAGTAGGCAAGACTATACAGGGTATGGTGAGGAATTGGGACTTCTAAGAATAACGGGAGGCCACTGAATGTTTTAAGTATGTCAGTAATGTGCTCTTTTAATGAGCAAAAGGGGATTAGAAGAGAACTTAAGGAAGTTTCCATGGTAGTTCAGGCCAGGTGGTGGCTTGCATGAAGATGAGAGGAAGATGTAGATTAAGATCAAATAATGCCCTGCTCTGTATAAAGTGGGAGATATGTGACCAGTCATGACTGGCAACTAGAATCCCCAGCTTATCACTTCTGTCCTGTATTCATACCCTCTCTGTATATACAAAATATTTAATCAAACAGGTTTCAGAGAACTTCAGAGTAGGATATCTATATCTATCTGTATCCATGTCCATATCTATCTATTGTGTCACAAAATAATAATGGTGATAATCATTTGGGTATGGAAGCAGAGTCATTATATTGAACAGAAGGGGCATGTCTCCCATCCAGATAGTGTCCCTGTATAATTATCATTCAACCTAATGCCTATATCATAGTGCCAATAAATCATGCAGTGGGAGCTACGCTGGCCAGTGGTTCATTACTAAGGTGAATTTTCTCAGGGCAATGACTGAATTTTATTCAATGTGGGAGAACATCAGTCATTTTTTTTTTTAATGAGAACACTTGACTAAATATGATAAATAATCAGAAAGTAATGAATTATAACAAATTAATTTACAAAATATACTTTGAAATTATGTATTATTATACCATATACATTTTAAACTGTAAGGAATACATGTCAAAGCAAACCCAACAGAAAGGTCTCAATAATGGAAAAATGACTATCAAAGAATAATGAACATTGTTATTCATGTTCTTTCCCTAAATTTCTGCAGTTTTCCCTTCACTAATAGACATGCACATTTGTTAGAATATCATAATCATATAAGGAATGAATGGAGTGCTGGAGACAAATTTGATATAGATGAAGACAGCAAAGTATTCAAAGAAAACAGAGAAGGCTCGATAAACTCACTAAAGGTATTTTCTTTGAACAGGTAATGAAGAATGAACCACTCTTACTATTTTTTTTATAAAGTTGCAAACTTTAAAAAAATAAAAAAATAAAGTTACAAATCTTTCTGAAGGGGCATTTCACTGACATGTTTTTATTTCACTTTCATAAGGTCATTTAACAGACCAGACATTTTGATTAATTTAAAATAACTGCATGTTCCTCTGCTATGACTATAAGTACAGTAAACTACACAATGAAAAATTAGAGGAAGAAAGTGGCCTCACATCTGATGCTCTTCTTACACATTTTATTTGAAACAAGATACCAAAAAGAAAAGATAAAGGGACTTCTGCAACATAAATATTTGACCTGAACTTTCAGCAAAGTTCCAATTTCAGTCTCTATCCAATATTTAGGCACCATATTTTTGTACTTCCTTTTTCATAGAATATTCTTCTGTGCATTAATGAGAAAATCCACTGAATGACATTGAGAGGACCATGTTTACATTATAAAACATCATTTGTCAGTGACTGAAGATGGGCACTCTATTACACCACTGTCACAAAATACCCAACTAGAGCTTTGCATGACAATAATGGTAAGGTCTAACACTTATGGAACACATACTGAGAACCATACGCTTTCTAAGGATTCCATGCATTTACATATTTAATCCTCAGAAATACCCTAGGAAGTAGATACCATTATTATTTCCATGTTACAGTTGAAGAAACTAAATTTATAGAGAGGTAAAATAATTTTCTCAAGGCCCTAAAGAGATTAAATGGAAGAACCCTAGGTGTCTGGCTTTATACTTCACAACCTAGGATATGAGGCTGGTCATGTGGCACAATTGCCGAGAAGATACCATTAGCAGCAGCCTCTGGAAATGTGCAGGACATAACCGGCACAATGGAGTGTGGTGGCCCTCAGGGCAGAGCCCTTGGTCACGAAAACATTTAGATCCTGGTCAGAAGAAGAGGAGCCAACAAGAGAAATGGAGGAGAGACAACCAATGAGATAATAAATAATAAGACTAGTCATGAAAACTAAGAGCAGGAAGTCCTTCAACTGGGTCAAATGCTGCTGACAGGCTGAGTGAGCTCAGGGCACAAATCTGACCATAGGATTAGGCATACAGGTTAAGGGTGACCGTCTTCTCAAGGGCGGTCTCATTAGAACAGTTAGGACAGAAGCCGTAACAGAGTGAGTTGAGCAAAGAAAGTAAAAAGGACAAAAGCAGAGGAAAGGATCAAATCTGGAGGCCAAGGTAGGATCATGGAAGGACCAATGACAGGTTTTTCAGGAGCTGTTTGTGATTACAGACCAAACAGGGCAGGAGAATTTACATATGACATGCAAACAACATACAGCAAGATGACGGAAAAGAGACCAATGTGACACATAAATTAGCAAATCAGACACACAGAAAACATAAAAGATTAATCAAAGAACAATGGCCTCAAGTTATAGAACATCTGGAAAATAAAAGAAAGAGGCAT